CCCAGCCCACCTGGGGCGCGTTGCAGATCCTGCTTTTCCAGAGTACTACCTCAGGCAGATGTTCTTCGAGTCTGAGAAGTTTTATATAAAGTGCAGAGTAGCTGCGAAAAACTTTTTTTGAGAAGTGTGAGACATTTATCAATGAAAGGCATAAAACTGAAATGAAATACATTAAGATGGTGGAGTTCACATTCGTTTTAAGAAGACGGAAACGCACTGGAACTAAACCGGATTTGAACATTTCTTTTCTACGGGATGCCAACGTTGGGTTAACTCTGCCCTTCCCAGAGCTAGATGGCACCTGTTTGTGTTTCACAGCAATCAAAAGCTTCCCAGCAAGTAAGAGACGTGCAAACAATGTCCCAGAAGACTCAGTCTGGGATGCTGAGCAGCATCTACCACCACCCCAGCTCCCCTGGCTCCACTGACCAGCGTGAACTGGGATCCAAAGCTAACCAAACGCTAGGGTGCAGGGCTGTGGGGCTGCACCGCCAAGCACCCCACCCTCCTGCTCCTCTCCGTGGGAAGCTGCTCGCAGCATCCCATCGCTGCCTTAAAGCCACGAGTCTCCTCAAACACACAAACCAAACATGAAAGTGGAAGAGAACCCTTTCTTCTCATCCAACATGCCCCCAGGCAGTCCCCAGCTTTGCCTCCAAAGCATGAAGTCCAGCTCTCAAAGGACCATGGGAGCTTATAAATTTTGCGAGGCATCACCCCGCTGCCTTTGGCATTTAGGCATCCTGATGTAGCACAGCCTAACCTTTTCGCCAACTCCTCTCACCGTTTTGCCCTCAAACATTCTTTTTCCAGTGCACTCAGCTTTGGCTCTGGTGCACCAGAAAGGGCACACGCTGTGTTTATATAAACTCTGTCACCTGGCAGCAGTGATCAAATGTGTGTGTGGCAGAGGAATTTCTCCTCCTGTCCTCCACAGGGTAGAAAAGCACTGAAATTTCACTTTGCTTATTCTTTTCTTCAGCCCCCGAAGCCAAAATAAACTTTGGGAAAACAAGTAGCTCAGAAGTATAAACAGAATAACTGAAAAATACTTTCTTTTACCAAAAACAGTCTCAAATATTATAAAAGCCCGGTCACAAGAGCAGCTGAGGTCTAACCCCAGCTGCCTGGCACCGCACTCCAGACCCCTCTGAGAGCGTCGCCCGTGCTCCTGAGAGGTAAAATTCACGCCTGTTGGAAAGGCCAGCTTGAGACATCAGCTAAACCCCCTTAAGCCCTAAGAACAACTGAAGGCACAAGAGGAAAGAAATAAAGGATTAATTCAAACCCCAGGATTTTCAAAGTCAAAGCAGCACCTGGCTGAAGCCACAGCATAAACAGCCCGGAGCAGAGCACGGGGGTAGCTGTGGGCTGGGAGAGCCGCACGGGACCCCAGTGACCCCCAGCTAGCAAATTGAATGGCACTCACCAAATGAATTTAGGGCCGTTTTGGGGATTGTTTTTGCAAAGCTCAGCACACGGTCTCAAGAGACTGAAAAGCCTCAGCACTGGGAAATAACGGCTCCAGCCACGCTCAGTGTGAACCAGTTACTTCTAGAAACCGGAGGGGACCTGAAGTCAAGTGTGAGGGCTAACAGTGGTGCTGCACGCTGCACGTGTTGTCCTGAATGTGTTCAGGGATAACGGCACTTGTCAAAAGAAACCGGGGAACTGCAGGGCTGGAACCCACCGGCTGTTCTGCTTCCACAGCATCACAGGTAACGGCAGTTTTTTAGGTAGGGCCACGCTAAACAAGGTCCCACAGATGCACTGAGGGAGTTTGTGTGGCCAAACTCCAACTTATTATTCTGCAACGGACTTGGGAGACAGAGCTACAGCGTCATCGGTTATATAAAGCTGCAGGGGACACGGCGGGGTATCTCTGGTGCTGCAGCAATGGCCAGGACTAGTTTGAAGTCTGAGCTAGAGATCTCTAGGAAGGGTCAGTATAGCTTTGAAAGGAGCCCAGCAACACGCCGTCTGGGCAGGATCCTCTATGGAAGGATTCCCTGGTGCCAAGAGATGAGCCAATCTCTGCCGAGATACTGATGGGAATTTGAGCGGCTCGTGGAAGAAGCCAGACTCTCCGAAGTAAGAGGGATTCCCTCTCCACGCTGAGAGAGTACGCTGGGCTAAGAGCATTTTACTCAAATCCAGCAAAAAGGAGACGAGGGTTGGGAGGTGGGAGGCATGAAAACCACTGTTTCATCCAGTTGAAGAGTTAAACCCTAATGTTTCTCTTCTTGCTAGATATGTTATCTTCCCTATTCTGCTGAGAATAATGCCTCTGTTATAAGCCCAGCTAAAGATTTCTGGCTTATCAAGTTCAAGGCAAAGGAGAAGATAGAGGTTTGAAGAGCAGGAGGGGAAAGAAAACATAAGGCTTTAATGTCAGAGCTTTGGAAACAGAGATACTTATCTAAGTCTGTTTTCTCCTTTCCTTGATTACGTTACTTTGAATTTGGACAAGGGAACCAGCCTGGCCAAGCTCACTTCTGCTTCTTCTCAGTTTCACTTTCTGAAAACGATGTTGTTGTGGGTGCACTCTCAGATACGCGTCTCCTGTGGACAGTTTCATGTTCAGGATACACTTCCTGAGCTGGGAGGTGATGATGAGAGAGACCTTTATGGCTACCGTCATTGAAGAGCACTGTCACCAGAGGCCTGACAAACCTGGTCACACCAACACTGCTAACGGTGTCCCAGACACCACCGCAAATCCGTGGGCACCAGGTGCCCACAAAGCAAGCAGCTTGCTGTTTCGTTCAAACACAGTATCCGTGACTGGTGCTTTGGAAAACAGCAGGCTTTTGATTTGCTTTTAATACAGCAGATGCTTCACAGTTGTGAGCCAAAGAGTTGCTCCCCAGAATTATTGTTTTCTTGTCTCCCATTGGTTAAAATGTAACGTATGAGCTCGCACATCAAATTATTTCCCAGAGACCCGACTCCTTCTGTTCTTATACGCGTATAAAATCCGTCTGATACAAATCTACTCTCCTCAATCTGCAATAATTCAGTAATAAAGCTAGCTCTAAATAAATGGAGAGAAAGACTATTAGCAAAAACACAGGTGCTCCATGTTAGGAAAGAAAGAGGTGACTAAAGGGAACTAAAAACAAACTAAAGGGGATCTCACGACCAACTCCATGCTCAACTGAATTGCATCAGTACAAATGCCAGCACTGTGTGGGCCCCCAAATTAGGAACTATTTACAAAACAAAAAGCTTGCCTCAGTGTATTGTGCCTGTTCTAACCCTGCTGAATAGCCTGCCTAATGATGATTTCTTCTTTATTTGGGTCAGGTCTTGCTGAGGAAGACTTTTTCGAGAAACCCACGCTAAGCATTGCCAAAGACCACATTGTCATCTTCCCAGGAGACACTCTAAAAATAAAATGCAGGTAAGGATTGCTCCAGCAATGCTGGGTTTCCCTCGTCGTAGCAATTACCTTGGCAGCTCCTGGGCAGGGTAGGGCAAAGCCGGCTGCAGGGTCAGCTGGGAACCCGTGCTGCCTACCCTCACGCGCCGTTCTGCGCGGAGGAGGATTCGACGGGCTGTGACGGGGCAGGGAGGAAAGTCTCGGGTCAGCACTCAGCTTGCTCGGATTCTTTATGTCGTAAAAGGGGCCCAAGCAAAATCCTGAGTCAGCACGCAGGGAAGCTTACGGGAGGGGGATGTAGCACGCTTAAGGACAGGGCTGGAAAATGCCCATCTGAAAATAGGTTCAGATTCAGCTCCTCTGCAGCTAAAATCCCTCTTTCGCTCCCTGTCCGGGAGTAAATGACAAACAAGATCACCAGGGCATGTCATTAGCTCTTTACACACATATATATGAGCTTAAACTTCCCAGCCTCAAATACCATCTAGCCTATAAGATGACAGTTAAATAAACAGCAGTTAGTATGTGTACATTCGAAGACCTGACCTGTTTAAACATATCATATCCTTTAAATCAAAGATAACCAGGGCTCGTAAAAAAAGCAGACCGCTGATACTGTAAATTATAGCAGCAATTCGGTTCTTGGCACAATGTGTAAAAACCAGCCACGCAAGAAATAAGCAGAATTTTGGTAATGACGTGTGTTTACAGGGAGTCAGTTCTCTGGGAAGGGGGGATCCAGCTGACAGGCACACAACTGTACGTAACACAAAGAGAGAATCATAGAATCCTAGAACAATTCAGGTTGGAAAAGACCCTTGAGATCATCAAGTCCAACCATTGACCCTACACTACAAGGTCACCCCTAAACCATATCACCCAGAGCACTTGCTGTTGTGTCAAACACACATGAGCTTGCTCGGTCACACAAAACACCTCGGACCGAGACGTCCGTAGGTGTCACTTGTTCCGAGCTACACCAAGCTACTGTGAAAAGTCGTTTTGTGGTTTCTTCCGAGAGCGCTGTAGGAGAGAAGGCTTAAGGTAATACGTCCTGTCACAGTTTCTCTCTCACACACACACATTATTTTTACACCTTCTTGCAAAGCCCCCGTGACCATAGGCACTACGTGGATGGTTTCACACAACAGAAGTTACTGGAAACAGTAAGAAAAAGCAGTGGGAAGGTAAATCTAAGCTGCAGTTTATGCTGACATGGACATCCCTTCTCATTTTTGTCCCAGCCTGTTTAATTTGTTGTTATAGTGAGAGGTAAATTGACTCATAGTGTGTAAATTTGTGGTGTCTTCTGGAGTGTTTTTTTCAATTTTTTTCCCAAATACCTCCAGCTAGCCGAGTGGCTTGTGGGGTCAAAACAACCTTACAGTGGTATTTTTTTAGCTTGGCAAGCAGCAAGCATGATGGCAATAAAATTTAAAGAGTGCTTTAAAATCTAAATGCAGCGCTTTATAAAACACATTATGTGGACACAAGTTCAGTGCTTCAGGCCAACTAAATCAATACTTTTCAGCAGTTCTCCATCCACTGCCTTTTTAAGCCGGAGGAGCATCCTATTTTTCTCATATCGCCAGATGAATAAATAGATGAAGACACTATTAGCACTTCAGTCCCAAATTGCTTTATGGATGCGAAGCAATAAATCCACATGATGGGTCTGAAAAAGAGAAAAGTGTGCTAGCATGGGAACAGAGACCCAGAGCCCGTCGGTTCCTCAACTCGGGTCACGCAAGAGCTGGGAATAGAAGGGAGAAGTGGGATTTCTGCACCTCGAGTGTGAGATTCCCCGTATCGGGTCCTTTGAGGATGGCTGCCACCCTGCCTCCCCTGCACGCCCACAGCTCAGCTCCTATGTCTTTCCTCCTCCGAGGGGGGATCAGGGCTGTGCGGAGCATGGCATGGGACAGCGGATCGAGCAGTCAGCTGCTGAAGAATGTGGCAGCTTTGTGTGAACATCCTTTCTCCCTTAACCTCCATTCATTTGAGGTTCTCGGCCAGGATTTCCTGATTTTTGGCAGCCTGGCCAAAGCCAGTGGTGCGACTCCCCTCTGCCAGATGTGTGAAAATCCCAAAGCAATAGCCAAAGCCTTCATCTCCCACCGGGATAAAATATGCAGGAGGAAAAAAAGTGGGTTTGTGTAAGGCAGTAGAGGCGTGTGAAATCCCCGACCTGCTCTGCAAAGAGATTTCAGCCCCAATGGGCACCAGTCTGGGTGACGGTAGAGGGGCAGGGACACGAAGACATGCTGGGAATTGAGTGAATATGAAGTAGCATTGTTCCATATTCCCGGCCAGGAGTCCCGTTCCTTGACAGAAGTAGTCGTTAGGTCATCAGTGACGTTAGCATGGGAGGGGAAAAGACCTGGGGAGGGAGCT